ATCCCAGCTGTGAATAAATGGAGTGATCAGTCCTGCTGGTCCCTCCTTGGGAGCACTGTCATTTGGGAGAAGCCCCCAGATTGGGAGAAGGCTGTGATCCCTCTTCAGAGGGCGTGGCTTTTGAGAACTGGCCACTGGGCATTGGGGATTTGGCTGCCTCCAAGGATGGTAGGGCCCATGAGGAAGGGGCTAGGACAAAGAGACTGTCCATGTGCCCCACAGCACCTTGCTTCCCAGGGACCAGCCCAGCCCCCTCTCCCTCGTGACAGTGACATCGGCGTGGTGGGCACACCAAGTCTATTTGTACTGTCCTAGCTCTCGTCTCCGTGAGAAGCTCTGGGACCCACAGTGCCTGCTTCACAGGCAGCTCGAGGGCCAGGGGCTTTGCCTCAGACGACCTGGCCCCGGCTCCAGCTGCAGCCATGGAGGCAGGAGTGAGCAGCACACCCAGGCTGCGCCCGAGGAACGAAGAGGCACTGGGAGAGTCAGGTGGTCTCGCTCTTGGAAAATGTCAACTACTGCATATTGAGGGAGTGAAAACCTGACATGGAGCAGGTGCGGGGGCCAGAGAACAGAGGCCGGAGAGTGGGGGGCTGCGCCGGGAGGTGGAGAGAAGAGAGCTGCGTTTGGCTCCCAGGGCCCTCTGGGAAGTGCTTCCTGCACACAGCAGCTGGGAACCATCCCTAACGCACCCAGAGGTGGCCTCCTCTTTCAACCCTCTGGGACAGCTCCTCACATCTGGATTAAAATCCAGTCTCCTGCGGTTGTCTTCCAGGCACTGTGTGATCCAGCCCTGCCCACTGATGACCCCAAAGCCCCCTGTGCCCTCTCCACTGCAGTGTACTGGCCATGCCTGCTGCCTGCCCTAGCCCCTTCCCACTGCCTACCCCCCACTGTGCCTTCTACCTGGGGCGCGCTCCCCTGCAGCTCCCTGGGGCTGCCGCGGTCTCCGCGTGGTCTCTGCGCAGCCAGGGCCCCTGGGGACGCAGCTGCAGCAGACGCATGTGTTTTCTCTCCTTGTGTATCAACATGCTTGCCCTTGGCCTCCTACCAACTCCCTGTAGCAGGAGCTCTGGGGGCGCAGGGCCTGGGCCAGCCACACTGCCTGCTGCAACCCCAGCACCCATCCTGTGCCCCAAACTTAGAAGAGGCACCAGGACAAGCACGCAGGAAGGGCCGAGTGGGTACAAGGCCCTGCTGCAGGGAGGAGCCCTCCGGGGTCTCCAGGCCAGCTGCCCTCCCCGTCCACATCCGGCAGAATCCAGCAGCGGTCAGGCCTCTTATTCACAAGGCACTGGCGAGGCACTGGCCCAGCCGATCCTCGGTGACTCCATCCAGGGCAGGCGATGTTACCGACTCTGCTCCACAAAGCACGAGGTGACACAACTCACCCCAGACTGCTCAACTACTGGGGGGTGGAGCCACGGCCTTGAACCCAGGCTGCTCTTGACAATTTCTCAGGTGTGTGTGACACCTGCCACTAGGTGCTCCCACCCTAACACTGCAGACAGTCCCTCTCTGATGGACCACCCTTGACCCACACTGTACACCACACACAGCCTTCGCAGCAGCCACCGGAAGTCTTTCTGATGTTGGGACCAAAGCCGAGAAAGGTTGTGTCACCTAACAGGGCGCACAGCTGGGTTAGCATGGTACATGGCTCAGAGATGCTGTGTTACGTCCTCCAGGACAAGCAGTTAATAAGTGTCCAAAGCCAACTCCCTCCCACTGTCCGAGGACCCCAAAACCCAAATGCCCCCATGAGCCAGGTGGGAAATGGAAACCTGGAAGGAGACAGGCAGCAGCCCAAGCCTGAGAATAAACTGCAATGGCCACAGGCCTCAGCTTCAGGACTATAAGGGAGTGGTGGGGCCTGTGGCCACCAAGAGGCCCTGTGCCCTGTTCCCAGGGGACAGCTGCCAGTGGCTGCCTAATACTAGGATAGCCCAGCTTGGGAGCCAGAACTTTCCATTTTTCCAAGGAAATAGGACTCTAGATATTTTCTATACAAAATCTTTTGGGGCCAGTATTGTGGTGTAGCAGGTAAAGCCACGACCTGAGACACTGGCATCCCATATGGGCATCGGTCTAGTCCCAGCTGCTGTACTTCCGATCCAGCCCCCTGCTAATGGCCTAGGAAAAGCAGCGGAGGATGGCCCAAGTGTCTCCCACTCACATGGGAGACTTGGATGAAACTCCTGGCTCCTGGCTTCAGTCTAGACACCACTGACCATTACAGCCATCTGGGGAATTAGGAACCAACAGATGGAAGATCTCTCTGTCTCTCCCTCTCTCTCTCTGTAACTCTTTCAAAATTAAAAAAAAAAAAAAAACTTAAACAACAACTTCAAAATATAAATGTTGGCAGGAACCGAGGTCTTTGTTACACTGTGGGCAGCACACGTGACCTGGAGGCAAGTGTGCCCCATCATCCTCAAGCTGCTACCTTCCAGGCTCCAGTAGGCCATATGCTTGACGCAACCGTCACACCCTCCTCCCGGTTGGGCAGCCTCCCCACGGGGTCACAGCCAGCACTCCCAGGGCAGGAAATGAGCCGCCTTTGATTTTTTTCTGTAACTCCAGAGCCTTAGCACGGTGCCTGGGCCCCGGCAGGTGCCAACAGCTATCTGTGAAATTAGTGGATGATTTTGTTCACAAAATGAATGCTCCCTCCACCCAGCCCCCATTTGTCTAAATCTCTGGGCGCCACATTTGGGTGGCCTAGAGCCCATGACAGGGGAAGGGCGTCAGGCTTTGTGCCACCCTCCTCCTAGGGTGTCAGGCTGATTGGTAGAGATAAGAGAGCCAAACGCGGTGCTTCTCAGTTTCCCTTGGGATCCTGGTATGATTCAGGGTCACCAATCAGGTGGCCTCACAAGACAGGGAAAGTAGAAGTGAGGAGAGGAGGGGACAGACGTAGGCTGTCTCAGTGCTGGGCACAGGTGGCCAGGCCATGGGCAGGGTCTTCCTTCCAGGGCAGTGTTAACAGGCACAGGGACATCCTGAGGCCAAAGGTTAGCTTCCTGATTCCTGGACAGCAGCTCAGGGGACCTTCCTGCTTCTGGTCCCCACCGGGCATCTGACGGCTAAGTGGCTTTGCCTCCCAACACCATTCCTGCAGGCTCAGCTCAGAGTCCACTCCTCGCGCTGGCCCAAGGCTTGTGCCAGCACCTGGACTCTCTGCACCACAGCCCTTTCTGCTTAAAATAGCCAGAGTGGTCTCTGCGGGCAGGCACTGAGTGACCCCGACTGATGGAGTGCAGAAGGACAATCACAGCCCTCGGAGCCTCGGGAAGCCGGGAAATTAGGCATGATTAGGCACTGCGAAGCGAGGACCTCAAGGAGAGGCTGGGGAAGGACACTAATTAATCTGAGGCCAAGTCTTTTAAATGGCGCGGAGTCTGGGGCCGGCCATGAAGTCACAGCCAGGAAGACACAAATATGGCTCCTGATAATAGAAGGCACTCAGAACCACTCTAAGAACTGTCAGGAGTGAGAGGTGGAGAAAAGGCCTCGCTAATGAGAAATTAACATTCATGGCTGGGGACAGAAGCAGGCCTCAGGGCCGCCTGCACCGGTGTGGAGATAAGGCAAGGACAGCCTTCCCCCAGGAAGCACACACTTGAGCGTGCCCTTGTCGGGAAGCAGAAAGACCACACCGGCTTTGGGGTTCCCGGCTCAGGGTTCCAATCCCAGCCAGGCACCCGAGTCTGGACAGCAGCACAGTGACCTTCAGAGTAACCACACAAATCGGTGCAGAAAGTCATATTGCCCCCTACCTTTGCGACAGGGTAAAATGCAGCTCTGAATGCTGGCAAACACAAGGTTCACAACAACAACAACAACAATAATAATTTAAAAACCTGCTGCGTAAGCCTCACCAAGTTAGGTCTCTGGGAGGGGAGCTTGGGTATCTGTGTTTTGTTTTTTTTTGTTTTTTTTTTTTTTTTTTTTTTTTTGCAAGATTTTATTTATTTATTTGAGAAGTAGAGCTACAGAGAGAGGGAGGGACAGAGAGAAAAGCCTTCCATCCACTGGTTCACTCCCCAGATGGCCGCAATGGCTGGAGCTGGGCCCCTCTGAAGCCAGGAACCAGGAGCTTCTTCCGGGTCTCCCATGTGGGTGCAGAGACCCAAGGACTTGCGCCATCCTCCAGTACCTTCCCAGGCCATAGCAGAGAGCTGGATCAGAACAGGAGCAGCTGGGACATGAACTGGCACCCACATAGGATGCCCACGCTGCAGGCAAAAGCTCAGCCAGCTCCTGGGTACCCATGTTTGAAAAATCTGCCAAGGGGATTCAAATAGGCGGTCAAGGCAGAGCCCACCTTGAGGCCAGGTATGGAACGAGTGGCGGCAGGGTATGGCATCAAGGACAACACGGGCAAGAGCGAGAAACTTGGCATCAAAGGTCTAGGTTGGTGTTTTGACCCTGCTACGTCTTAGCTGTGACCTTGAAGAGCTCACTGAACTTCTCAGAGCACCTGTCTTCACAGCTCCCCATGCAGCAAAGCACTGGGCTGCACCCTGGAGGTCTCCTGGCAGGATTGAGGAGAGGAGGCATGCGTGGTGTCTAAGCTTGGCCCCGCCTGGTCCCTGGGATAGCAGCTCAGAAAGGCAGGCTGCTGACCTCAGCCGCATTCGCAGCAACTCAAACTGACCTCTGGGTCCTCTGAGGCAAGGGCTTTGTCCCACTCACTCACTGTGCCCCTGGCGTCTAGGAGCATGCATGGCATACAGCAGGTGCTCAATAAAAAATCTGCTGTAAGACTAAGTCATTGTGAGGGAGCAGAGTCTGACCTCCCCACGCTCCCGAGTGGGGCCGGGATGACCCTATCCAGAAGGAAGGACCACACAGCAGAAAGGACTGCGCGCCCAGAACAAGCACCACTACAGCACCTGGCCACACCCGCCAGCTGCCCTTGGGGGTCTGAAACGCTCTGTTTCCGGCCCCTGGACTGTCCCACGCCCTATTTTAAAGCGGGAGCCGGGGCCACAGACCTGGTGCCATCCTCGGCGCTGCACTCTGCTGGGGGCCGTCTGTGAACCGCGTCGCAAGGCGTCTTCGGCTTCTCGAAGCAGGGTTCTTCGTGCGCAATCTGCGGCAGAGGCAGCGAGGACACTGGTGAGGCGCTGATGGCTCACTCGCGCCCAGGGGCTGTTTCGTAACAGGCACCTAAGGTACATGTCGGCGTGCCCCAAAGTCTTGTATGGGAGGACGCTCCCTGCAGCGCTGTGTGCAGTGGCGGGGTGTGTGTGTGTGAGTGTGTGAGTGTGTGTGTTAGGAAGCAGGCTAACCACCCAGCGACCAGGGGAACTGGGCCACAGCACGTCAGTGCTGCAGGGCGACAAGCAAAATGTGCTGTCCCATCAGGCAAATGGAGATGTGCACACCACGTATCTCCAAGATACAGGAGCCTGGAAGGCACTGCTTGTGCACCAGGTCACTAGCTGGGCTAGCCAGTGAAACAGGATAGATTTAACTGGTGAATGAATGAATATATTGCTGGCACACCCAGGACTGCGAATCCTGCTCTCTGCTCCTCCCTGAAACCTGGACCAGGAGGGGCACAGGTTTCCATTGCTGCCGTTGGGGCCAGGAAGCTCAGACTACGCCGTGCTGAGCTGCCCTGGTTCTCCTAGGGGAACAGGCAGGAATACCACTTCCTCCTCTTGTCCCTTGGTGTGGCTGTGATTTTCACTGTTTCTGAACGGCTGGGGATCTTGCATTTGTGTGAGGCAGCAGCACATCAGAGTAACGCACACTGAGGTCACCGTGTGCCGCACCCTTTACAGTTCTCACGGCATTTCCTCTTCCTGGCCAGCCCACAACATGGGCGTAGTTATTCCCATTTTCTGGGGGAGGAAACTGAGGGTCAGAGAGGACCCGACTGCCTATGTCCAAGCTAGAACGTGGTGGGACGGGGTCCATTCCCATCTCGCTCTGTCTTGTTCCAGATGCTTCTCTTGTGGCTCAGTAGCACGCGAGCAGCTCAGACAAAGAGGATTGTCTTACAGGACCCTGGCACCCAGGAACAGGCACCCTCGTTAGTTTCCATTTTAAAGACGGGCAAACAGGGTGGGCGTTGGGCAGGTACTGCAGTTGAGATGCCACTGCTTGGAGTACTCTACTGCCGATCCAGCTCCCTGTTAATGCACAACCCTGGGAGGCAGCAGGTGGTGATGCGAGAGTTCAGGTTCCTGCCACCCACGTGGGAGACCTGGATGGAGTTCCAGACTCCAGGCTTTGGGCTGGGCCAGTCTTGGCTGTTGCAAGCATTTGGAGAGTAAACCAGCAGATGTAAGATCTACTCCCTCCCCCCTCTCTTTCTCTCTGTCTCTCCTCCTCCCATCCCTTTGCCTTTCAATAAATAAAAAATCTTTCTAAAAGATGACCAAATAAAGGCACAGGGAGCCTAAATGGCTTCCCCACAGTAACATGTCCCAATCAAGACCTGATACCACGTGCTCTGCTGTTCTGTTTATTCAACTATCAATCATTTTTAAAAATGTTTTAGTGTTTCAGTTTTATCTACTTGAAAGGCAGAGAGAGAGAGAGAGAGAGAGAGAGAGAGAGGAACCTCCCATCTGCTGGTTCATTCCCCAAATGCCTGCAATGGCCAGCACTAGGCTAGGTCAAAGCCAGGAGCCCAGAACTCCATCTCAATCTCCCACGTGAGTGGCAGGGGCCCAGGTACTTAACCCAATACCTGCTGCCTCCCATGACACATGAGCATGGAGCTGGATGGGAAGCAGAGGAGCCAGGACTCAACCCAGTCCTCTGCAGGATGTGGGTGTCCCAAGTGGTGGTTTAACCCACTGCACCACAACACCCACCTCTACCCAGTCATTTCTGATGCCTACACTAGGCCAGACACTAAGTTGGTAGCTTTGCTACGACACCTGCAGAATGCCTGTGTTTTTCTTATAGGCCAGGTGAAATCTGTTTCAGGGTACACAGTATGGATGAACTAAATACAAAAATGAATGATGAATCAAATATTACATCTGGGTTAAAGTTAAGACAGATTGAGTGAACAGGAATAATCGAAAAGACCCTACACTTTTCCTTACCTGACTGACGCTGGAGACCCAGGAAATGTAAAAGCTAGAAATGTGTTGCTCTAGGATAGCGGAGGCCAAGACCCGTTTGAAAAATAACAAGGATTTCTCTTTCTCGCTCTCACGCCCTCTCTGGTGAAGTAGGTGTAGTGCATGGTGTACAGTAAGGCCTCTGCGGGCAGGGTCACCGGCACACGGGTGGTGGTCCACAGCCCCTCACTGCTTCTATGCAGCAGCACTGCTGCTTGGCTGGGGAGGGGCTGTGCTCACCGTGGGTCCCCTCGGTGTGCGAGGCACTCCTGGAGAAGTCGGAGCGCACGGCCTTCCGAGGCGATGGCTTCTGTTCCGAATTGGCCCCGTTGACGTAGACAGAGAACCCTTGTTCCAAGTGCTCCAGGTGCAGCTGCATGGGGTCCTTGGCTTTCAAATGCTTCAGCACCCTGGAAGAGAAACCATCACTTGTTGCTCAGCACGGGAGAGCCTGGGCCGCTGAGCCACCCCCAAGCCAGGAGGAGTAAACTAACGTGGTGATGGCTGAGTGTCTCTACTCAGGCCCACAATACCCACGGGGGACAGAGCCCTGCAGGGAAGGTGTTGCTGTCTTTTGAGGCTCACAGGCACATCAGCAAGCAGGAATGTATGTGGTCCCTGCCCCAGGAGGGCTAGAGCAGAGGTAGCAAGCAGGCACTGTAAGCCTACAGTTGGGTTTTCCGAGATAATGCAACTTTGTGGCCTTGGTGACTGTTTGATGTGCAGCTAAAAGGGGCTTTAGGGTCTCAGGTTCTAAGTAAGAAATTTCACCCAACACATCTATGAATCAGGAAACACCCCTTGTCAGACTGGGCAGCCAATTTTTTTGCGTCAGTGAATACATGTGTTTCAAACGCTCACTCTTGATTTCTCAAATGCCATATTATTTTGTATTCTAATGCAGTCAAAAACCGCGTCAGCGCAGGCCCTGGCTTGGGAGTAATTTACGACTATCACACTCTGGCTGGAAAGGGCTGAGCGTGAGCGTGGCCAGGGCTGCGGTATAGCTTTCACTAAAGCCCAAACCTCATGCCTGCAGCCTGACGTGGCCTCTCCAGTCTCCCCAGAATGCTTCCTGTCACCCCAAATGGGCCAGTGTCTTTAACAAACACCTGTACCCACCCCCGCTTCAACTCGATTCACGGACAACCAAACTACTTCTGTAGTCAGGAAGTAAGTACCCACCAAACGGGCAACATTAAAAAATGTCTCAATGGCGGTAATCACATAAAAGGCAGGCCCGACAAAGTCCATTCTCAGAGCATGTATGACAGTCTCATCATGTGTGCTAGTTCACCGGGAATGCTTAATTAGCCAACGCAGAACCGCTGTTCCCGGGGCCAATACAGGGTGGCTTCCTGCAAGCGTCTCCTTCCATTTTCATGAAGCAATCAATGCATAATCTTGTGACCTTGCCGGCTGATTCGAATTGACCTCACGGCCAAGAGCATTCTGGTCTACGCCTGCGCAAAGCTTACCCAACGCACATATTTGTCTCCATCAGGCACACTGCAGCCTTCTCATGCTTAGGGATTCTGGACGGCTGTGGGCACTCTTTCCGGGGGCTGGCCAAGAGAGTGAGATCACCAGCAAACAGCCCCCAACTGGGAAGCACGGGGCACATACAGAACACTTGTTCACAGTATGAGAGCAGGGTACTGCCTCGGACCACCTCGGCTGGGAACGGATGTGTCAAGGGACTCTTCACAGGTTACTGAGTGACCACAAAAGCACAGCCCACATTGATTACTGGGTAACAGGTTAAGTTCCACCAAGCAGACAGTCATGGATAGGGAACCCAGGACCCAGGAGGATCAACTGTGTCAGGACAATGAGTTTTCACAACCCCCCTACAGATGAGGCACAGCTAGAGGGTGGGTAAGTTGCCCAAGGTCACACAGTAGCGGGGCAAGGTGCCAAGTTAGGCATCTGGGCTCCAGAGGCATTACCACAACAAAGACAGCCTCTAATGGTAATGAGATGATGCTGAAACCAGCAAGCTGGACACTACCAGAAACTCACAGACCCAACCCAGAAATAATATGAAAACATACAAAATGCCACGTGTTCCAGCTCTGCCCAGTAAGCACATTCCCAAGCATAAGCTCTGGTCAAGAAGATGAGCAGGAGGTGGGTGTTGGGGCACAGTGGATTAAGCCACTGCTTGGGATGCCTGCATTCTGTATCGGAGTGCTGGTTTGAATTCTGGCTACTCTGCTTCTGATCCAGCTCCCTGCTAATGTGCCTGGGAAGTAGCAGATGATGGCTCAAGGAACTCCTTGAGTTCCTGCCACTCACATGAGAGACCCGGATGGAGTTCTTGGCTTCAGCCCAGCCCAGACCTGGCTGCTGCAGTCATTTGGGGAGTGAACCAGGGGATGGAACATCTCTCTCTCTTCCTCTCTCTCTCTGCACTTTGCCTTTCAAATATATATATGTAGGGGTTTTTTTCTCTTTTTTAAAAAAAGATGGTCAGTGTTCAGTCATAACAGAACCCTGCCAGTAACCCCAACATCCGACAGCAGGGAAGCAGAGACTGGGACGTTATGCAGTGTTACACAGTCATGTGTCCCTGAGCAATGCGTCGGCAGGTCTGTTGTGCCAACATCATGGGACATGCTCACTAAGACAGCTCCAGCATCACCAGCTGAGACCATCTTATGGCACCGCCGTCATACAGGCGGTCCACCATTGGCCAAGACATCAGCGGGCGGTGCATGGCTGTAATTGTGAAAGCCTCAGGTGAACAGGAGGATGAGTTGGCTCTGGGGGGCGGTGGGCTGGCGGGACAGAATAAAGGGGGCACCAATGTGGTCAATGCAAAGCTGGAGAATGGCATTTGTGGTCCCAGAGTGGAAGGTGCTGAGTGCAAAGCTACAATCGGCGGTGGCACTGTTGGTGATTTCTTTGTTTACTTTTAAATGTTTCTCCACGACTGGGCCATCCATCTTATCCACCATCGCGGCAGGAGCATTTATTACAGCCTGCTTATCTCCTGCCAGCCTTAGGAGCCAGGGAGATGCCTGATTGTTGGGCAACAACAGGAAAACACAAGTAACCAAGAGGCAATTTCCAAACACGGCAACCGCTGAGCTCACTCCCAGGAGCCAACGATCAACGGGCAAGGAAGGCACCGGCATCTCCATGGAGAGGGAGGGAGCCTGGGGTCCCGGAGGCCCCACGGTGGGGTGGGAAGTCTGATCACCCAGGAAGAGAGCCTGCCTCAACTTTTCTCCGGGAGTCTGCTCTGTCTCCTGATGCCACTCTAACCGTTACGCCATAGCCTTACCCAGGATCTGAGGCTGACACTCCATGTGCGCCTCTCCTTTAGCAGAGTGATTTATGAAAATGTGGATTTATGAAACTGATAAATTAGGAGATAATTATTCAGCTTGTGAAAGGAATTGCTAAAGGAACTCCTCTCTAGCCGCTGAGCGCGTCGGTAGCATCCAGGTGGCATCAAAGAAAAATGTTTTTGTTTTAATTGATGGCCTGCTTTGCATAAGAAGTTGTCCTCTGTGGAGGAGACGCAGATAAATCAGACGCAGCCCCTGCCCTATGTGAAGCGGGGCCCTGCCCGCCTGTGCCCTGCCACCAGGGCACCCGGATGACTGCTATTACACTGCCGACTGATCTGTGGCTTCGCTGCTTCTCCTCCTGTCCCCGCGGGAATCTGAGCCCCAGGGCACGGGCATCTGTCCCGCCAGCCAAGATGCCTGCTGAGGGTGAGGGACAAGAGGGAGAGGCCTCGAGGCCCGTTTCTGGAACAAGTGGCCCCGAGGACCTCAAGGTCTGACAGGAAACATGGAGGGGTATCCAAGGCTCACACGTCACAGCCACCCCTTCCCCGTGATCCCGGGTTGCCCCTGGGGTTACCTGGACAGAGAGCTCTTGCTGCACAGAGGAGGAAGCGGAGGCAGCTGACTTAGGACTTCCTCGGGTCATAAGGGTATGTGGTGGCAAGCTGACATGGCCGGGGTGGTTGGGGAGGACGCCCCATCTCACAGGCCACCAAAGAAGGGACTCAAGATTGTGAAAAGGACTTAGGGAATGAAAGGGCAGGTCAGCGTGTTTGCTGCTTATGGGACGCCAGCCCACTTGTGACCACCTTCATAACTGAGCTGTCTCTGGGCTCTGGGTGGTGTGGGTGCCACAGGACCATACACCAGCTATGTGGTTTGTCCCAAAGATCAGCTCAGAGTTCGCCAAAGGCCAAGGATTCTCTGGATTCTTCTCAGTTAGAAGTCAGGTTCAATATCAAGAGGAGGGACAGGCACCTGGCATAGCAGGTACTATGCAGCTTAGGGTGCCCACACCATATACCACAGTGCTTGGGTTTAAGTCCCAGCCCTGCTTCCAATCCCAGCTTCTTGTTAACACACATCCTGGGAGGTAGGAGGTGATGGCCCAAAATACTTGGGTCCCTGCCACCAAGTGGGAGACCCTAATCAAGGTCCTGTCTCCTGGCTTCAGCCTGGCCCAGTTTTAGCTATTGCAGGCAGGTGGGGAGAGGGCCGCCAGTGGATGGGAGAGTTCTCTCTGTCCCTTCGGGGTGGGGGTGGGGGTGGGGGGGGTGGAAGGAGAGGGACGGTGATGGGAATCTCTGGCTTGGGCAGCGGGGCTTCCAGCACCTGTCTCACTTCATCCTTCAGTGGCTGGGAGATGTGGGTTCTTCCTGCTTTATAGATGAACATCCCCAAGGCCAGAGCAGTCGGCTGAGCCAGGAAATGAGTTCTGGCCTGCAGGGCTCCAGAGCCTGTGCTCTCACCTATCCCTTTCGGCGTTTTTTTGCCTCCAACCCCAGGCATCATGGCACGGAGGCTCCAAACAAGCGCAGTTCATGCGAGGGAGCAATGACTCCCCTCTGAAGACTTCTTGGAGGTGGTATCATTTCCAGCCAGCCTTGAAGGACGAGGAGAGGGAAGGCAGCTAAAGCCTCTAGCAGTCACCTGGAGAGGCCAAGGCAGCATCGTGTGGAGGGCGGAGCTCAGGACTAAGACCTTGGGTGAGCCCCTAACCCTCCCCAGGCCCCATGTCCTCTTTGACAAGTGAGACAGTTGGGGGCTGGTGCTGTGGCGTAGCGGGGAAAGCCACTGCCTGTAATGCTGGCATCCCATATGGGCACCGGTTCAAATCCTGGCTGCTCCACTTCTGAACCAGCTCTCTGCTATGGCTGGGAAAGCAGAAGATGGCCCAAGTCCTTGGGCCCCTGCACCCACGTAGGAGACCTGGAGGAAGCTCCTGGCTTCAAAGCTCAGCCCCAGCCATCTGGGGAGGGAACCAGTGGATGGAAGACCTCTGTCTCTACCTCTCCCTCTTTGTTAACTCTCCTTTCAAATAAATAAATAAATCTTTAAATAAAAGAAAAGAGAGACTGAGAAGGGCATGAGGCAGCCTGTGCCTCCACGGGCTGCCAAGAGCACAGGAGGACAGCGAGTGAAGACCCCAGTGTAGACGCTGGCCAAGGGGAGGCCCGCAAAGGGCTTGGTTCTTTCCTCTGTGGCCAGCATGCATGGCTCCTGGACACGTTTCCCTGTAGGTTTCCCTCCATCGATCTTTCTCAAGGATCAAATGATAGGACCACTGCCGAGTGCCTGGATCTGCCGCACTGCCTCCCTGGAGCGAGGTGGGATGTTCCCTGTGTCGCCAGCTCCTCGGGGGCAAGGGCCCTAACCTTCTCAGTGGCCCTCGATATCGTGTCGGGCGTGACTGCAGCGTGCATGCAGTGGAGTGACTGGAGTCACTAAGAGTCTGCAGGGATGTGAGGTTGGTGGTGGCGGGAGGGGGGGCAGCAGGGTCTGCGCAGGGGTGAGGCGGGGCTGCCACATCTCCAGAGCCTCCCCCTGCCCCATCCCACCCTTGTCTTCCCCCGGAGTCACCATCACTTCCGGTAGTTAGAGGTGACCTTGTGGCCAGGGTGCTCTCCAGGGACAGGTGCTGGGCGACGGGCACCTGGTCTCCCTGCTGCCCAGCTCTCCTTCCAAACACAGCTGCTCAGGGCTCCTTTGGAAACACAGCCACTCTTCCAACTCCACGCTTTGGCGGAACCCACTCCAACACCCAACTCAGCAGGGCAGCCAGCAGGACTCAGGGAGTCACTGGCTCGGGGTGAGAGCCGACCCGGCCGACAGGAAAAACTGGAGGGACTGCTCTCTTCCCTCTGAGGTAGGATCTAAGCAGAGGCTTCCACTGGCTGTCCTGGCCACTGTAAGGGGAGCACCTGTCCCGTGGAAAAACACAGGTGATAGATGCAGAAGGACTGACTTCCGTGATGGGATTTCAGCACCTACATCCAGGTATGCTTGAAGCCACAGTCTCAGGCTGCATTTCTTAACTTCAAGAGTCAGTTAACTGGGACTGGCACTGTGGCATAGTGGGCTAAGCTTTTGCCTGCAGTGCTGGCATCCCATATAGGTGCTGGTTCGAGTCCTGGCTGCTCCACTTCCGATCCAGCTCTCTGCTATGGTCTGGGAAAGCAATGGAAAATGGCCCAAGTCCTTGAGCCCCTGCACCTGCGTGGGAGACCCAGAAGAAGCTCCTGGCTCCTGGCTTCCGATCAGCACAGCTCTGGCCATTGCAGCCATTAGGGGAGTGAACCAGTGCATGGAAGACCTTTGTCTCTCTCCCTTTCTGTCTGTAACTCAACCCCTCAAATAAGTAAAATCTTAAAAAAAAAAAAAAAAAGAATCAGTAAACTGTTTCCTCACAGCTGAAGTCCTTTGCTTTGGGTTTCTGTCTCTTACAACAAAGGAACACTAAGTAAGGCAGTCTGTGCGCTCTTTGCTCCTCACTGCGACCACTCCCCGCTCTTCACACTAGACAGAATGGAATGCCAGCACTTAGGGGCCCTCGGTGAGACCTTGCTGAATCAAAGAACTGACGTCACCTGCCCTGATGGACCTCTGCTGCCAAAATCCCGCCCCGTGATTGCACACCCTTTCCCCGGGTTGCACAGGCTGGGTTTCCGGCCACCTCGACGCCCACTGTGAAGCTCAGAGACTGGTTTTCTGCCTGATTCTACACATTTCCAAGTCAACTGCAGCTTATTGCCCAATAAACGCCTCCTTAGTGCACTGAGGCCCTCTGGCAACTGTGCAGGATTCTGTCCTCTTGGGTATTTCTGACAACATGAAAATAAAATAGAAATCAACCCAGCTCCTCTATTTCCTGGTTGCAAGACTGTGGGCAAGTGGCTCATTGCTCCGGGCCTCCACTTCCTTTCTGTACAATGGGTATGACTACTATTTGCCCTGCTGGGCAGTGTGGAGATAAACTAAAAAGCTGGGCTGTGGTGTCTGGCCCACCCTCTCCCTGACCAGAGCTCAGGGGCATGCCCATCTCCCACAGCTGAACCTGAAGTTCCTGCTTTCCAGCTCTGTCTTCTAATTTCCTGCCACCAAGACAGCCCCCACTTGGAGTTGGCATTGTGCAGCGGGTTAGGCTGCAGCTTGTGACACCGGCATCCCATAGGAGTGCACCAGTTCAAGTCCCGGCTGCTCTGCTTCCGATCCAGTTCCCAGCTAATATGCCTGGGAAAGCAGTGCAAGATGGTCTAAGTGTTTAGACCCCTTCTATCCACATGGAGACCTGGATGAAGATCCTGGCTCCTGGCTTCACCCATCTGCCGGCAACTCAGTTTTGATTTATTTTTCATTGCCTTTGTGCTCCAACCTCACCTCTGGAAATTCTCGGGATGCTACCTGCGGGTCGCTCTTTAGCTGCACACCTATCGATCCCCTCATTAATGGGAAGCCATCTGCTCCTAAGGAACAATGACACTCTCTCCCCAGACACGTCACATGCACATGATTAAAGCCATCATCCAGGTGTGCGGTGGCACCACCTGGCCTGCCAAAATGGAATAAAAACGCCCCTCTCCGGGACAAAGCGACAACAAAACCTCAGGTGGGGCTCATCAACGTCTGAGCTGGCCCCGGGGTGGGCCCCTAGGCACGGAGGACAGCGCCTGGCATTTAAGGCTGGTCCCGGGGAGTTCATCCATTCAGAATTTTGTCCCCGGAAGGTGGTGCTGCCTCACCAGGGGGCATCTGGCAATGTGGGCGGAGGTTGCCATGGACACTGGGACTCTGGGTGGAACTGGGTAAAGAGGCTGCACTACATCGCACGGGACTACCTAGAGCCATAAAGCATGCCCAGCGCCATGCGCCACCAGGACCGCTGCTGACAACCGCCAGCGGTCTAATTAGTCAGATGAGCTGAATCCACACTCAGGACGATGGCCCTCCCCTCTTCCCTGCAAGCCCACAAGTCCACATTCCTAGCCCAAAGGCCCAAATTAGCCTCCCCCTCCTGGAGATCCATCTTGTGGGCCTGCGGTGTTCTTCTGTTTATTTTGTGCCTACACTGGAATTCATTACCAACATTTGAAAACTCCGGAGGCTTCACAACACAGGTTTAGATTTGCAGCTTGTCTGGCAAACTCAGAGGATCCGGCCCCCTGGAGGCCCATGTTCCCATGAACGGCTGACCTGAGCCGATCGGGCCCTGCTGTGGGAGCTCTTCGCTGGCCACCTGGCCCCCTGCTAGCACCCGGGTCAGCAAGGCTAACTTATGGCAAGTTTCCAGCCCTGCAGACTAACCACGGCGGCCTGAAGACGAGCTTTCTCTCTGCCCTGCCAAGGAACCACGTTCATGCTCACAGTGCCTCTTTGGAAAACCAGACGATGCTGCTGCGACCTCCCCCCTCCCATCACCACACCCTGCACCTGCTGCAAGCTCTTCCAAACACCAGCACCCGCTTTACTTTAATGCCATCTCCACCTATCTCAAAATGCCGATGTGAGAGGGCTCCGCCTTTACATAACACGGGCGTGATTACAGGCTCAGATTTCAAGGGACTGTCAAAGCCTGTGAGATCCCAGACTGGGCTATTGTGCAGGCCCTGCCAGATTCCTTTTCCTGACAATCTTACCTTCTCCCCCAGCAGAGGCGGGGAGGCAAGGGGCGGTACTTACACATCCCACAGTTTGCTATGGCTCAATCAAAAGACGCAATTAAATCAGTGAATGGGGAACTAGGAGCTGGCAGACAATGCTCTCAGCCTCTGAGGGGAGGGTGGGCCTGCATCCCATTCCCACGTGAAGCAGAGCCTTCATGCTGTTAATAAATCTAAACAGATTTTTTTTTTTACTTGGCTAATAGCAAGGGCTGCCGACGGGCGGCTTCATCTTACCGGTTTCTCTGCTGAAGCAATATTAAATACTCATCATGTTTCTCATCAAAGTCTGTCACCATGTCCTTAGTGTAACCCTGAAAGGAAGAAACAGAGCCGTGTGACATCGGAATGCAGGGAAGTCTTCGCTGGGATCCAGGGCGCCGTGCACCGCGCCCGGCGGCAGTGGCAACCTTGATGAAGGCCCAGCTCCCTGGGCGCGTCGCTCTGGCGACCTGGAGCCCCGGAGATCAGCTGATGGCCCAGCGGGTCTCACACGCACACAGCTTTCATCATCTTCACAGAGGAGAAAGTCGAGTCCCCAGCGTCGCTACTGTTTGTCCCTCGTAGTGCCCCAGAAAAACTGCGGCTCGGACAAGAGGGGGGCTTCATGGTTTTCTCACTTGGTGATGGCAATCGTCATGACCAGATGCGACCCGAATCAGCTGTTTCAAAGGGGGGCTCCTTCTCTCCTGACCACTGCAAGAGAACCGCAGGCTAACTATAAACCGTGGAGTCATTACAGAAATAGATGGCCCCCCAGAGCACAGGCTCCTAAGGAGGGGATGTTTGTGGTTCCCTGGCACCGGCTCTGGATTGCCTGCAGGAAACATCCACACCTTCTGGCAGCTCACTGCCCTCCTGACATGCCCTTGAAGGTGCCTTTGTTCTCCTCTGGAGCCCCATGGCCTTGGCCTTGCCAATCAACACACTCCTCCCCCACCAGCCACCAAGACCCAAGTCAGCCCCGGGGCTCTGCGGATACCCTTGGGGAAGAGATGTTTTCTCCTGGGGGAGCTTGAGCTGATGAGCTGCAGGCCTGGAACTGCCAAGAATGAAACTGGGAAACAAGACAGCAGAGGCAGGCATTGGGCATAGCAGTTTAAAGCACCGCTTGGGACGCTCGCATTCCATATCAGTGCTAGGGTTAAAGTCCCGCCTCTGCTCCCAATCCCAGCTTCCTGCTAATGCATACCCTGAGAGGCAGCAGGCGATGGCTCATCTTGTTGGGTCCTTGCTACTCATGTGGGAGATACAGATTGACTTCCTGGCAAGCCAGGCCACAGTTGTAGGCATTTGGGGAATGAAGTAGTGAATGGACAATCCCTCTCTCTCTCTCTCTCTCTCTCTTTGCATTTCATAAACAAATAGCAGATCCAACACAGGGCAAGAGATTCCTCATGATGTAAGTTCAGCCCCTGGAGCCACTCCATGCCTTTAGTTAACTGGACAACTCAGCTATTGCTTGATAAGTTTCAGCTGAGTTTCTATTATCCACAGTCAACGATTTTAGGAACTATGCCAAGATCTGACCATCGTAACCCCTTATGATTTAGTACAGCTTCACGGAGGAATAATTAACATATAATCAACTATAAGGGGCCGGCGCTGTGGCTCACTTGGCTAATCCTCCGCCTATGGCGCTAGCATCCCATATGGGCTCCGGGTTCTAGTCCCGGTTGCTCCTCTTCCAGTCCAGCTCTCTGCTGTGGCCCTGGAGAGCAGTGGAGGATGGCCCAAGTGCTTGGGCCCCTGCACCCACATGGGAGACCAGGAAGGAGCACCTGGTTCCTGGTTTCGGAGCGGTGCAGCGCTGGCCTTGGTGGCCATTTGGGGAGTGAACCAACGGAAGGAAGATCATTCTCTCTGTCTCTCTCTCTCTCTCTCACTGTCTATAACTCTACCTATCAAAATACATATGTATATACATAATCAACTATGCCTATCTCAAGGGATCCAGGCACACACCAAGACAGCCCTCCACTGACATGACAGGGGCTCATCTGGATGTTTCCTTCTATAATATAGATACCCAGCTACACACAAACACACACAGCCGCTTTCAAACAAAACGAACTCGGACTATAAATGATGCATTGCAATCTGCTGTTTCTTGAATAACTTTTGGCCAAGAACTGGATTGAAGATACAATATCACCTTGGTACGGGGTCACAAGTTACCACAAATTAAAGAGGTGAGGATTTAACTGATAGGTAGGACATCTGTAACGGAAACGCAATTTGTGAGGGAATTCTAATGAATATCACAGCACAGGGGAGAGGGAGAGAGAGAGGGAGAGGGAGAGGGAGAGGGAGGGAGAAGACAATCCCATCATTCTTTTCTTCTCCAAATCTGTCTTTAACCCAGTATTCCACTAGAACACTCCCCAAGGCTGAATCAGGATCACCTTAGCTATATACATTGTCTCTTCTCTTCACCCTTTCCAAGGGCTCCAGGCCAGGGGGAACTGCTGAGGCACCCTTCCGCAGGTTGCCCTCTCACCCTCCCCGGTCTACAGGACTGCACAAGCTCTCTGCCTGCCCTTGCATCCTTGCCCCAGGCGAGGACAGTCAGCATCTGCCTGTCTCTTCCTATCTGCTTCCCCCTCTGATCAGGAGAGAGGACCCTGAGGACAGGGCACCCAGAGGTCACTCCGCCATCAGTGCAGACAGCCAACCTGCTCTTTCTCCTCCCGTTTCCTAGATGAGCCCAGCTTGTTGCCATCTGCTTCCCTCCTCCTCTGTCACCTCCACTTCTCCTCCTTGAGTCCTTCCTCTCTCTCCCCATGCATTAGTTAGCTTTTTACTACTGGAAAAAATACCCCAGAGTAGCTGCTTCTTTTTAAAAAAAAAAAAAAAAGATTGATTTTATTATTTTGAAAGGCAGAGTTATAGAAAGGGAGGTCGTCCATCTGCTGGTTCACTCCCCAGATGGTTGCAAAAACCGGGGCTGGGCCAGGCTGAAGCCAGGAGCTGGTTGGGAAGTGGAGGAGCCAGGATTTGAACTGGAGCCCATAGGGGATGTGCCACAGCGCCTTCCCCGCTACCCCAGCCCCCCGCCTCCTGGGCCAGAGTTGCTTCCTAGGAAGGAAGAGGCTTGTATTTTGGAGGTTCACAGTCCAAGACTGGGCAAGCCTCATTGGTTCAGGCATCTGGAGAGGACAGAAGATGGGGAGAGAGGACCCCATGGCGATCCAAGCAGAAATACAGGGAACACCCTCTACATCTACCACCTCTTTGTCTCTCCTAACAAAGCCATCACGATTTGCTCACTGGCTCCACCCTAGCAGCTGAATCCAATTCCGTCACTTCTCAAAGGTCCCACCTACAGACACTGTAATTGGATGAAGCCTTCACCCTAATCCATTGACCACTAACCACCCACAGTTAACCTAAGACTGGGGTTTACATGTCAGCGTGAGTTTGGGGAACCAAAACCTGCTCAAACCCTAACTCCCTTTGGGAACAGGATGCAGTGCCCTCATGGTCTCTCCTGATGTCTCTGGAGCCTGAGTTTCACCGGGACTTCCTGCTGGCTGATCTGACCACTAGGAAGTGAGCAATAATACGGAAGGAGGTTACTATGAAATTACAGAAAAGTTAAAAAAAAAAAAAAAAAGCTAGCAATGACTTTCCCTGGCTTCCTGAGGTGCCCACAGAGGTTACTTGGGCCCTGCTGGGACTGAGCCCTGCCTCACCCCGCACTGTGGCAAACACAGGAGACCTTGGCCCTGGGGAAGAAGTGGTTTGCAGGCTACTGACTCCAGGGAGGATTCTCGGTTCCTTCCAGAACAACAACATGTGTACTGTGCAAACGGTTTTATGTGGCATTTCCGTATCCACGCTTCTCCTTTGATCTTCACAGCAGCTCTTGAAGTGGTTATTATTACCCCATTTGAGATACAAGGAGACCCATCCACACAGCCTTCCGGAACACGGAGCCTACTCCATGGCAATTTACATAACCATTTTGAAATAGGAAAATGACCACGGATGTATTAAGGTGTGGAATGAGACTTCCAGTGACATTTTTAGATGAAATGCAGGACTTCAAAGACATGTCCATCAGTAAGGGGACACTCGGGGCTGTCACCTCAGACCTTCCACGGGAGGCATCATCTCTCCTCCGCCAGGATGAGATAGCATCAGAAAGACTAGAAGTCCCTGCGCCTCCTAAACACTGACGTGCATACAAGTCACCTGGAATCGCGGGGAAATGCAGAATCTGACTCAGTAGCTCTGGGGAGGGCCCAAGCCTGAATTTCTATATATCTTTTTTATTTGAGAGACAAAGAGAGATCCCATCCATTCCCCAAATGCCTGCAACAGCCAGGGCTGGGACAGCTCAATCCAGGTCCCCCACATCAGTGGCAGAAACTCAATTATTCAAGCCATTCTGCTGCCTCCCAGGGTTGGCATTAGCAGGAAGCTGGAGTCGGGAGCCAGAGCCGGGTATGGAACCCAGAACTCTGATGTGGGACGCAGGAGTCCAAACTGCTAGGCTAAACGCCTGCCCCCTGCACCTGCACTTCCAATGAGCTCCTGGGTAAGGCTCACAGAGCACACTCTGAGTAGCAAGGCCCTTGCATAGCTGCCCTTACTCCCCACTACTGACGATACCCTCACCTCTAGCCAGACCGTCTCTGAACTTGAGTCAGAAGAACATGGAGTCTAGACATGGTTCCAAGGCACAATGCCACCACTTAGCTACTTAGCTTCCTTATCTGTAAAATGGGAGTAACAGCAGTAGCCGTCCGGTTGGACTTTTGTTTCCATTATGGGGTTAACTGTGGATTGGATGCAGCGATGGTGGAAGAACTTGGCATGGTACCTGGCCCTGTAAAGTTACAGCTGCACTTACAGAATTCCATCATGGGAACAGTACTACCTAGAGCCCTTCCCCTTGCTAGCTCCTAACCCAGTGCCTTTACCATTCCATTCCCTGTCCTAGTCTACCCCTCCCCACACCTCTCCAGCCTCCACTCAGACTCTCTAAGGCCCAGCTCAGTCCCCAAAGTCTCCATCAAGTCCTCCCCTCATCCCCGCTCACTGCAGTTCTTCCTGAAACCCTGTAATTAATATTAAATTATATACAACACGGTGTGAAATAGTATGTAATTAAGTGCTAACTTGCTAGCACTTAACTATAGTATTGCTGTATTGCTCCCTAATTACCTGGGGATTTGGAGCCTGGGGGTGAGTCTCTCCTGAGACTCAGTGTCCTCGTCTGTCAAACGGGGGTATTTAATCCGCTCTACCCCATGGGGCTGCTACAGGGATTATGACGAGACAAGTGCAGGTAATACAGGGTCCTTTT